ATTCTTTACAAATCCTACCATGTGGATTCATGGATTTTTTTTTCACATTCTGTCTCTCACAGTTGAAGTGTACCTCTGGTGCAAATTGCTGACCTCTGTCATCATTTTAAGTGGGGGAACTTGCACAATCGGTGGCTGACTAAATACCTTTTTGCCCCACTGTATATAACATATTTGTTATTTGCTCATGCTCAGTGTGTGCTTTGAGTCCCCATAAAAACAGGTCTTTACTTACAGGAGGGAGACTCGTCAAAGCGAGTGCACACATTTGTGGTCTTTGTGCTCTCATTAAGAAGCTCTTCATCCTCTTCTTGTTCCGTGCGACGGTGGCGGTTGCTTTTAAAAAAATAATAAAAGACACAGCGTTATAAATCACAATGGGAGAAAACTTTCTAAATGGAGGAAAAGAAACTGTTCTGTAGGGATAGATACTCACTCTCCAGCTGAAAGCAAATTCTGTTTCTCGTCCTTCTTGATACGAGGACGTCCCGGTTTCATCTTGAGCGGTGAGGTGGGGGTCTTCTGTGCAGCTGGTTGGATGAAATGAGCAAACAGCTCTGTTTGCTTCAGCAGATACTCAAATCTGTTGGTCCGGTCTGTTTGCTGCATTACACAGAAAGAAAGTCCCATTCATCTTCCGACCCAGGAGTACAGTGGTGAGCCATGTAATGATGGAAGAGAGGACTTACCACTTTCTCCTCATAACCTGGAGTAGAGTCTTTAGTTTTGGAGGAAGATGAGGAGGAGGAGGCATCTTGTCCATCAGCACCTGCATCTGAAGAGGACTCTTTTCCAGCATCTGAAGAGTCAGACTTCTCCTAAGGGAGTGTATGGTGAAAACAAAGCAGTCTTAGTGGATGTCGTCCTTATGTTTACAACAACAACAACAACAACAACAACAACAACTGATAGGAAGAGATGAGCTCACTGGCTCAAAAACAAGCCAAAGGGCAAACCAAAATTTCAAGGTGCATCAGTATTCACATTTGCAGAAAACAGGGCATGTATTGACTGAAATACCGTCAGTTCTTCTTCTAATCATATACTGTCACGGGAAGGTACTTTTGATAGCACATTTGCGTCACAGAATAAATCAGTCTCTTTTACCCCTCTGCTATCAGACGTGCTGAGAAGTACCAGTAAATTTGTGAATTTAAATCTCTATTAAAAGAAGATGAGGTGATAATGATAAGACTTTTTGTGGAGAAAATGCTTCCAATACAAAGCAAGGACGGTGTTTTGGAATTTCAGCTTTCTTTATGTGGGATTTTTATATTGATAGAAGTTTCAAATCATTTTTTGGCCGAGCTGTACGCAGCCAGCGAAGCAGCATCCTTCCCCGGTCACAACAGCCATTGCTACGCGGTCTGCTCCGAAAACAAAGGGGCAGACGGTACAGCTGAGAGGACTGCTTCTGCCCCCCCAATTTGTTTTCACGGGGTTTTCTAAAAGCCGACTCACTGTTATAAGCGTCCCACTGAGTGAACCAGGTCTGAGAGCAAGCATAGAACAAGTAAGGACTTCTGGAGCGATACGAGACAGGCAGCTAGCGGGGCTAAGCTAGTAGAGTGGGCGCTCATGAAAACGGCTGGCCTCGCTGCTGCGCTGGTGGATCTGGCTGTTGTCTTCGGGAGCTAATGGTAGCGCCGCTGCTAGCTAACTGACAAACTGAAAGTTTCACACAGTTGATTTCGAAAAATGCCTGAACAAGAGATGGACCTTTTCAGAGTTATACATTCGTGTGTCGGCTTTGTGAGAAACGAAGTCAGCGTCGAAAGGATATAATTCCCATTTTGAAACATCTTACCTCCGCTCCTCCGGCGTCTTCAACTTCAGCCTGCTCTTCCCGCTGTTCCACGCAGTTTGCGCTTTCGGACATTTTTGTCGATTTTCCTTTTCCGTTCAGGTATATCGTTTGTTATTAGGTGACTTGTGTGATCCCGTTTAAGAGCCGTTGAGAATTTTCGGAACTTCCTCTAGGTAAATAAGGACAATCCTGTTGTTTTTAATGAAAGACACACCGGTTGGTCGCAGGCAGCACGTTCGCGCTAGCAAGATTTTTCTCGCGCACCCGCGTTCACATTGTTACCGGGTCTGAGCGCGCTATCGCGAGATTTTATTATGCTGCCTTCGCAGACTGTCGAAAGTATTTGTTTTTGTTATGGCTCATATGACAGCTTCCAGTCATCTCCAAGGTTACTATAGTTAACTAAATCTAAAGCCTTTAAAAAATTAAACTTAACTAAAACGATTTTTAAACTGCAACAATGTATAGGTTAATATGATTAGTTTTAGTATTTGCTGGTTTAGTAAAACACTTTTATTATAACTTGATGGTTTTGCTGCTTATTGAATCTCTGGATGTCAGCAAGACCGGGACTCACCTTCTTTTAAAAGTTTTCTTTTTTATTGAAATACCTTTACTTATTGTTCTAAATCTAGCATCTGACATATGCCCTCCATGCAATGAATAATTAAAAAGACTAACACAAAAACTATTAAAAACAAAAATAAATAATGCATTTTCAAAAATTTTTTAACCAGACCTGACATATATATGGATACATTGATATGTTCCTTGCACTTCCAAAGTTACATGCTTTAATATTATAACTCATTTCTGAAGCCAATGACACTAGCATCACCCCTCTAGGAAGTTTGATGGGTTTCACTGATTAGAGAAAAGACATAGCCAAGTCAATATTTGTGATTGATAGGGTGAAATATTATAGTAAAGTAATATTTCAGTCCCACTTGTGTTTCCTAAAGTAACACGTTTTCTGGGAGTGGATGATGCAGTCATCTATGTGCTGTAGAGAGCTTACTCCCCATCTATAGAGTAAGAGCTGCATTGTGAGGATAAGCTTCTTTGATTTATCAAGTGTATTTCATACAACTCAGCTGCTGCTGCTGAGGGAAAAGTTACAGGAAATGTCAGCAAACACATCAACCATCTCATTGATTACCGACTGCTTGACAGAGAGACAGAGAGGCTGCGGTATGTAAGACTGGGCAGTGCTCAGTCTGATTTGTTGATGTGCAGTACAGGAGCTCCACAGGAGACTGTGCTGTCTCCACACCTGTTCACTTTGTACACCTCAGACTTTCAGTACAATTCTAGGTCACGGAACCTTTAGAAATCCTCTGACAGTTCTGCAGTGAGTAGATGTATTAGTAATGGGCAGTAGGAAGACTAGTGAGCACTATAGTGGATGCCTTTTGTGGAGTGGTCTGGGAGCAATCATTTGCTTCTGTATGTGAAAAAGACCAGGGAGGTGTCCCTTGGAAGAAGATGGCTACACAGACATACATGCACTGTACCTGGGTGTCAACATGGACAACAGGCTGAAATGAAAGACCATCACAGAGGCTGGGGATGAGCAGGCTCTATTTACTAATGGAGTCAATGTGTGCACCAAATGATGGAAATTCTATGTTACTCTGCTATGGGAAGCACAGTGTACTCAGGAGTCTGCTGGGAGAATCATTAAGGCTCAGGGACTGTCAGTAAACTGGACACATTGAAGCTGAGGTGGAGAACAAACTGTTAATACCCTTATCGGAAAGGCATTTAATCTATTATTATTATTATTGGTAGTAGTAGTAGTATTAAAAAACGCTAAAAAAAAAAAAAAAGATGTACAAACAAGATTACATATCCTACTGGGCCGAGAAGAAAATGCCCCTATCTCTTGTTAAATTACACATGCCTAACTCTTCCATTCGTATAACAAACAACATCTCCTTAATTCAGTGTGAAAGTGCAGATAGATGCAAAAATTTGAAAATAAAGTCTTTGATAATCACAATTCCAAGATGCAGATCAATCTGGATGTTAGGTGGAAGCTGGGAGGTTTCCATCTTTTCATGATTTTGTTTTAATCGTAGCGTTATCCCAAAAAGGGCAGATTAACGAGTAGTGGTTGAACGCAACACACGAAGTGTACAATAAAAGGATAAAGGTTCTCGAAAATGCTCGCGGAAACGCAGCTTCGTTTAACTGGAAGCGTGTCAAACGGCCAGCAGCGCCATCCGTGGAAACCCACACGACTGACCGTTACACAAATGTAACAAAAGCGGAACAGGCAAAGTTAAGAGAAAAATAGCTTCACCCCAAGGGTCCTACCACCGTCTCTGTCCATAGGAATGACGTCGCTGTACGGTTAATCAGCTGTTTCCGAGCGAGGAAATGAACCAAAATAAATACACATAAAACTGTTTTATCTCTCTGAAGACATTTAGCTCTGACCGACGGCAGAAGCTACTCTGGTCGGACGCTGTTGACATGCTTTATTTGGGTAAGCACACATGTTGGATTATTTGAGTTACATGATGGCATTTATGCTAAGTCAGTTTGTAGGCTAACGGCAGGCCTCTTCGGCTGTTTCTTTCTTCTTCTTCTAATTTTTTAAAAAATTCTTTTAATTTTATTTTTGTTGGGGGCAGTTTGTTAGTAAAACTGCCGCTATGGAGAGGTCAGCACTGTTTCTCAGGTTTAGTTTTAACGCTCATTCTAGCCGTACTTTAGTTTCTAGACATATAGAAATATCTGCTAACTTTACAACTAGCTTTAGCAAGCTAGTCGGCTATTTGTGTGTATCCCCCACAGCAGCAGCAACACAGAGCGGCAGGAGTCATAGATCATAGGCAAAACACGTGTGAAATAGCACATAGTAATGTAATGTGCAGTCTTCAAGGCAGATGGACACTACATTAAATTTGTTTTATTACGCTGAACTTGAAAAAAAAATGTATAGCAAAGTCGTGCGTTATATTTAGTGACAGATCCACTGAAACCACCTTAAATGCCCCCCTTCCCGTTAAGGTAAATAAGTTCAACTACACCTTTTAATCCGAGAGGTATCTTAACAGCTATATCGATATCTACATCGATATCTTAAAATAAGTGTCTTTCGTTTTTACTACACGATAAAGAAATGCTACGGTAGTAAATGAAAGAAATCTGTCAGCGCCGCTCTTTGGGCGTAAATTTTAAGAAATTTGTAAAATTACGGAAAAAGTCACGGGATGTCATGTAGATCGCGAAAAAGCAACCGTTCTGTCATTTAATTGTTAACTACAGTATTACTTAATTATTTTTGGTGTAAAGTTGTAAAACCTGTAAAAATACAGTTAAATGTCCAAAATGCACGCCTTCAATCCCACTTCCCAGAGCTATCCAGGGGGCCCCATTGGAGTCTGTGCCTGGCCAATTGTAACCTTGCATTTCTAATTTTGTCTCCCAAACTGCTCAACATGAGCGGTGTCGCTGATATTGTGATTTCTAATCTAATAATTTTACTGTTTACACCTTTGCTTTATAGTCATAAGACAAAATGTTTTCTGTGACGTGTGTGATCACAAACAAAAACTGACAGAACAAATGTTCAGTGCACCATTTAGTGTGACTGCAGATGTTTTCTGACTCTTTTTTTTTTTATGGTTCACCTAATTACTTTTTCAATTTTCCTCTACAGATCGACATCATGGACAAGATTTTGGAGGGCCTGGTGAGCTCCAATCACTCTGTTCCAGTGAAGAAGGCCATTGTGAAGAAGGTAGTGGAAGCAGCTGAGAGAGAAGTGACAGAGGATCAGTGTCAGGCACTATTCACACTCACCACCCGCCTCATCTTGCTCGGTGAAGATGCCTTCCAGAAGCAAATTGGCTCCCAGGTTCTTGAAGCCTATGCACGCTACCACCGCCCAGAGTTTGAGCGTTTCTTCAGCAAAGACTTCGTCCTCAGTCTGCTCCAGCAGGGCTACGGCCAGCTGGACCGCAAAGACCCCGCCATAGTAGAATACATTCACTGCTGCCTGCGGTTGCTCATCAGCTGCCCATCGGTGCTGGAGATTTTTAGTGTGATCCAGGTGGAGGTTTTAAGGATGGTGTGTGAACGACCTGATCCCGCTTTCTGTGCCCGCCTGAGCACTTTGCTGTCAGACTTTGTGCAGTGCATCCCAAGAGATAAGTCGGGTATTCTGTTCTGCCAGCAGCTGGTGAGGACCATCAGTTCCTTCCACTGCTTTTCTAGCCAAGAGCAGGAACTGAGAGAGTATGTTGGTCAGGTGACGAAAGTTAGCGCGCTGCTACAGAACATCTGGAAGGCTGACCCAGCCACGCTGCTGCCCTCACTCCAGGAGGTCTTTGCTATTATCGCCTCTACAGGTAAGACTCTTTGATTCCATATAAATTGTGCCTTAAACGAACAAGAAAGTCATTTCATACGTGATTACATTTTTTTAAATGGGTTCAGTTTTGAGACATTTGTTGTTATAGATGCCATTTAAAAAAAAAAAAGAAAAAAAGAAATACTCAACATAAAGAGCAAATTTGGATTTTGTTAATAGTAGCGTTAAGGATGGGCATTTCAAACAGAAATATTATTTGATATTTACATCTCTTCCTCAGAGATTGCCCACAGCTCAAATGCTCTTAAATGACTTTGAATTCAGCTGTTTATATTTTCGACACACATTTGAGTGGGCTTCCCTGGCATACTGCCATCCACCAATTAATGATGCTGTTGGGTAATGCCCGTACTCTTATTCTGAAAGTTCAGTCACAGCAAACACGCTAGTACCAGCCCTTCCTGTCTTCTACCATCTCCTGAGAGGTTCATCAGGCTACTGTTGTGATACCCATCCCCCAGTTTGATAGACTAATGATGTGCTCCTGAATAAGCCTGAATTTCTGAGTTCCCAGTCAAAATTTGAATCTCAAACTCCCCCTTTGATTTGCTTTTGCCACTTGCGAAGTCAGAGTAGTAACCTGGAGTTAACAAACATGGTGGCACTAAATGTAAATAGCAGGAAAATCATGAAACTTTTCATTTGTACTGCCACTGTTATGTATTTGTGACTTACTAAGTAAAGCTAAGCACAGACCAGGCTCTAACATGATTGTGCAGTGGTGTTTTAAGGTAGAAAAGAGCAAGACTTTTGCTCTATTGCTATTGATTCCTGAATAGCTTTACGTTGCTAAGAAGCCAAACAAATCCTGGTTTGTTTGTTTGTTTGTTTGTTTGTTTGTTTGTTTTTTGTTTTAAGTTGTTGTTCTTTCTCGCTCTTTCTGGAACACGCTAATTAGGGAGGGACTTTTGAGTTGCAAGGTATGTGAAGGGCAGTATA